GGACGAATTGAACTCCTGGAGTTCCAATGTCAGTGCCCTCCAAGTGGATGTAGACGCTGCCAAGCAGTGGTCGTTGGACTGGCACCTTCCTCTGAATGATGAAAAGTGCGTCCATGTGTCGTTTGGAGGGGATTCAGCGAATGCCTTTATTATGCATGGTGAAAAGGGACCAGAAAAGAATCATGAAGATAGATGCCAAAAAGCATTTGGGCATCTGGGTCTCCTTAAATTCATCCCTCTCACTGCACCATGAGAAATCGGCCCAAAATGCATTCGCCATTTTAAGGATGTTCCGATGCCCCATCTCCCGTATTACTCGCATGGAATTCCAGATAATCTATGGGGCCTACTTCAGACCGCTCCTGGTGTACGTCAATGAAGTTGTCAACTCACGACCCTCGAAAGACGTTACCCTCATTGAGCGTGTCCAGCGGGCCGCTACGAGAATGGTTGCCGGCCTCAAATCCGCGAACTACGAAACGCGTCTCGCAATGCTTGATCTCTTTCCCCTGGAGTACGGTCGCCTTCGAGGGGACCTAATTCTCAAAAATGCCCTATTTGAACAAAGCTTGGCAAACAGGTTATATGCCGTTGACCCAGCAAACGCACGGCGGGGACATAGCAAGAAATTTTCAAGCTACTATAAGGTTTTCGGGGTCAACACTTCATGGTTAAGAACGTTTATGTCAAATTAATTGTTCTAAACATTATATACAGCCGCTGGCTATTCGCACATTGAGATTGACTTCTCGAAATCTACGGCATTTTCAGACTTGTCACTTCATAGTGTAGAATGTCTCTGTGTCCGTGAATTTGCCGGAGACATCGGGTACCAAGCACCGTTAAACCCCAGTAACTATATAGACCGTTTTTGACCATATAACTTACGCAGTAAATCAAAACTCCCCTGTCATCATCACCAGAGACAGTGCCGTTTGTAACAACCCCCTGGAGGCCTGATATCTGGCAGAGGATTAACTTATCTTCTCATTAACATCGTTAGTGATAGTAACATCAGGTGAAAGCAATGTTCGCTCATTGTCGCACAACCGTGTCAATTAATTCCACTGGAGCCTTGCAAACGAAAGAAGTAAATAAATGAGAAAAGTGACCTGAGTCTAACCTACCGCAAAAATAAGAAGTGCCTTACCTTCCAACACTCAGCCAGGCAGTCTGCCCTAACAATTGACGGAGTGCAAAGACGTGGTCTAAACATATCCTTTCAGGTCGGAATCCTGAGTGCCTTTCTCGGGTATCCTCTTCACGTGCCTTTTTAAGATTTGCAATAAGCGACGTAAAGAGCCTAGTTGCAAGGTGTCACGCTAATTTCAATGATTGCCACACTCGCCGCGAGCAACCTTCTGAACAATGGGCACCACTATCGATTCATCCCGGTTGTGATCAAGTGTCTTGCGGCGTAATCCCTATTCTGATTGACTGAAATCTGTATGGTGTGAACATTCAAAATGGCAACATGGCGGATATGAGGTTTTGTGCTTTACCCTATTGGGCGTGGCAGAGAGCTATAACGGGGTTCTCTCTGATGTAAATTCACGGTGTTCAAAGATTTCCATATTTAATTAATGCTGATAATATGCAGTAGTTTAACATAGCTCCCTTCTGACAAATGAAGTTTTCCGTGTTGTCTCAAATGTAACGGTAGGACAAAAGGACCACGAAAGTTGTGCTTGACCTCGGTTGCAAAAAAGTGAGTAATTAGAATAGCACAAATTTAGCAGTTATTCCTGGTGCGTTCACTGTTTTCACTCAGCTGCGATCCCTTGTTATGATACATCTAGTCTTTAGATGAAAACGATTAGCATACGTGTAATTGTATGTTTTCCCATGAATGCACACCTCGAAATTCATGTTTCATGTGATTTGTGTAAGAGGGGTGCATGAAGCGGTGTTTTCATTGACCGCCCCAACTCTGGTTTCTAATAACGGAATTATCTGTACATCCTTCACCGCCAACGGATCAACGATGGTGCCTGGGGCCATGCCAGAGCTGTTCACCAATTTTCCGCTTCTGGTAGTTCACACTTTAAAGCAAGGCATTGTGCGAGCATAAAGAAAGTTTTACCAATCATTGGACAACCCAGAAGAGTGACAGCAATAGTTGAGTCACTTAGTGGACGTTGCCTGCTACACTTGTTTGCTTACGTCACGGCTGCTGACGTGTGTGTGCGCTTGGCATGTCATGGGCACCCGGACTGCGAGCGGAACAAGCGGGAAGTGGCCATTTGTAACTCCACGTCGGTTTATAAACCATCCTAACATAGGACCCCTTTGAACTTGAGACACTAGTGACCCGGACCAAACCCTAAGACATCCTTGTTAGTTAGAACGATCTCTTCTTCCTAGCTAGAGGCATATAAGTTAGACAGACGCCGACTGAACACCTCTACTTAATCCTTGAAAGGAGCTAGTAAATCCGCTAAGGTCAAGATCTCGGTGACACCTTCGGGACAAAAGTCATTTGCTCATATTCGAAACCGTCGGCGATTTTAAGTTCACTGTCCAAGACTGCGTTGCCAGTCGTGAATGGGATTGAGGAAACGCGTGTGATCAGTGGAATCGGTCTCCAAATTATTCAGTCCAAAATTTCTGGTGGTCCTTTTACAGATGAGCGATTCGTTATTGTCACTGTTAGTTTAAATCAGTTTTTGTTCCGCTGCACGTATCAACCGGAACAGTTTATGCACACTCCCACTTCACGACTCTCTCATTTCCTCAGATTTCTGGACCCACAAAGCTTCTCAATCCACGCAGATAGCCGTTTTAATCTGAATTCTGACAGCTCAATTATAATAATAGTAATCTTCGTAAGGGAAACCCTTCAAAAGGTTGCTGATATCTCTTCAACATCTCACGACCCGTTTTGCTCTTTTTTGAGCTCATCATGTAGGCGCAGTCCCCGAGATTCCCTCAACCGTATGTAAAGCACATTCGGTCAAGGAATACCATAAACGAACACCGAATTGATTTGCAAGTGCTCGAATCTGTCGAACTTACGGCGATCGTTCTCGTATAACACTTTCGCCGCCTAGGTGCTGTGCCAACGGAGGGAAGCTTGAGGGTTGGGATACGGCCTGCTTAAACCTACACGGGAGCAGTCGAGGTAACCAGGTTGATTAAGGACCTTTGGTATTCATCACGGAGAGCATGACATCAGTGTCCAACATTTATGCTCCGTGTGAGAGTGTACGGTGAGCTCCCCAAAAGCTTCCGTGCACAAAGCGCTGGTTTTCAGAGGCACCCACTCTCCCTTTTTATATTTAACTTCATGATCGATGGAATAATGAGGCGAACGCTGGAAGGTCTCCAAAACCACGGCGTTCGAGTAACCTATGACGAAAGCCCTGCTGATCCGGACTATAAAAACGATACTGTTTTTGTCCTATGAGAGGAGAAGGCGCTGGGTGTTTTTTGATAGACTGATCGAACTCATCTCGTCTTTTTGTGTGCACTCTGCTTCCACATAGTGTAAGGTTACACCCCTGGATAGAAAGTCACCGAACACGCCACTTACAATCCAGTGGGGGGCACTTGAAGTTGTTGCAGTGGTTCCGGCTGTGGTGTGACAGATGAGGTCAATTCACGAATTTGAAAGGTCTGGGCCCCGTTTGCTAATTTGAGACACTTATTGCGTCAAAGAATGCATCTCGAAGGGCGTGTGTATCAGGTTGCAGTGCGCGCTACTTTGCTGTATGACTGAGACATGGCCTGTTTGAGCAGCAGAGCTGAGACGTCTTAAGGTGTTCGACAATCCAGCACCAGAATCTGCTTTGGTTCGGACAATGTGTTGCGTGTGCCGAACGATTGTCTGCCAAAGAGCGTGCTGTTCTCCGTGCCTGCCTTAGAGTAGCGAAACCAGAGAGGTGGCCAACCCTTGACCTGGCGGAAGAAAATGGAAGATATCGGGAAAAATTTAGGTATTGTCGGTGCTACTCACCTTCCAGGATGGAGACCGCATGATCCCCATTGCCCCTGGTTGGAGACGCTGCATGTCGTGCATGCCAACCGATGTCAGTGGCGTTCTTGTCAGTTTCTATCCCGATTGTCTAAATGATTTTGTGGGTGTGTGGACACTTCAAAATGATTGTGGTAAGCTAGCACTACGTCCGTTCCGTGTCCACCTTTATTCCTTTCTTCACAATAAGGCTTTAAAATGAGTCGCATTTGTGCAGCATCGGTGTTGAACACTGATGTCACGCCGTCGTTAACAATGGTGAGGATGATAATGAAAGTTTGTCGTGGAATACCACAAATAGACACACGCCACATCAGCGTAGGATTTGCGACCCCCATTTTCACTCGTTTGCAGTCCTAACTGAAACACGCACCACTAATAATTTCTATGCGAGTTTCTGTATCTTTGCTGCTTTTCCCTGTCCATGCTTCAACAAGGACCCTATCATTCATCAACCAACGTTATAGTCCACCTAGGTCTGCCGAGTTTTTAGAGCACTGTTGTCACACTTGAAACCTCTGGTCTAAGTGTAATCAAGCAATATTAAGAAGTGTCCAGCGTAGGATAACTAATATCGCCACAGCCACTTACGACCTGGCCAACCCAGTGCGGCTGTTAGCTGTGTTCCTTTCAAATACGGGCGTCTTCGTGGACACACTATTCAGATCTCAAGTAGTTCCAAGGATGGCTCCTCCACCCTAAAACACAACACCGATCTCCGCAGCCAAAAATTCAAATTCCCCTGGAGAGCGTAAATGAGCCTGACCGTCCAAATATCTTCCCATCGATCGCGATTCCCTTCGGGATCAGGCCTCATGGGTCTCATTTTGAGCTACCGTTTTTTATAAGTCCGAAAGAACCCTGGACTGGACAGTTCTAGAACTATTTCTGTGTGCCGACTTCTATTTCTTGTCCCACGTCAAGTTGAGTTGACCTGCTCGACAGCTTCCTGGTATCCACATTCTTCTAGCCAGCACCTTCCCAGCCCTTTCATCCTTCCACAAAATGGTGTTCACAGCATCCGCCATCCGCCATACTATTGACTGAGTTACTTGGCACCCATCCTGCCAAAAGTCCTTGAAAGGTATTGAAAACTGACGCGAAGGAAGTTGTTAAACAATAATGCCTGCTGGAGCCACACCAGTATGGCTTAGGAAAGGGTCGTTTCTGGATCACCAGTTTACTGTTCGCGCATCCATAGAAAGGCTTGAGGAACTCTGTATATTTGAGAGATTGGCCTTTGGTCCTTTCACGCATGGCCTGTATGTCAACGGCGTGCAGTTCATTCAAGCAGGCTTTTCGCTGATAGTATGCAATTGTAGCACCGGAATGACACGACCATTTGCCGCAGCATATTGTGGCAGGACAACAACCGCCATATAAAACTCCTAAAAAAGTCGATCACAAATCAACACCTGTCCGGAGACCAGCCATCCCTAATAATCGAACACCACCTCATTTAGACGGATATGTCACGTGCAGGACACGAACTAAACGAAGGCGTTCCCTGATTGGTCAGAATACCAGTCAATCCGGATCGCTCATCTCTGGCTGGACGCTCCACGCTCCCTCACGTAGATCCTAGCATGATTTTGTGGAACACTGTGATTACTCTATAAATACAGTTGTAATAATTTTCCTTTGCCTCCATAAAGGAGGAGAGGAGCTACCATACCTTTCGGTGTACCATAGTGGGTGGAGCAGGAAGCCAAGAGACCGATACAACGTTGCACTACCGTTCAGCAAGGCAGCGCCATAAAAAATAAAGCCCACCATCCGGACGGTAACTGACAGACAACACTTAATGAATAAAGAGCGCATAAAAGCAAACTGTGTTATGAGATCCTGGACCCCTGGTGCAACAAAGACAAATAAACGCTTATAAGCCCCACGTCTACGCTCCATATACACTGTGTGAGCTATTACGGTATTTCATCAGGTTCGTCCAGGTGTCGACGAACCTGTCAACTATAAGGTGAACAATACCATGCTTCGATCTCTCCTACTTTACGGATCAGAGATGATGGCTGCGTGCAGGTCTTCGAAGGCTATGATTATCGGTGCACCGTACATGAGAAGATGGAATATCAAGTCAGTAATACCAGGTGGTTTTCAGGAAATACAACTTCCCGTTGATAGACGCTATGGATTACGCTATTTAACCACGTACTTGGTATTCCTGGGGGCCGTTTGCGTCGCAGACTCCGTGCGCCACATCGAGGCGACGCAGGGGTAGAAAAGCGTGACAACTACCAGCGAACTGTCATGTTTGTAACTACTTTCTCTCCAGATGGGGACTCTGAGACAAGACAATCCAATTGTTGGTGGTCATGACAGATATGGCTATCAATCTTTGGCTATACTACATCAAAGCTATCGGCTTCCATTCAGTCCTCTTGCCTCCTACCATACTCAACAAGTATGCACATTCAACGTCAATGAGCCGGTTGGATCATCAACTTCAGCGCGTGGCTGTGGTTCTCTTATCATCCTTACCATCGGTGAACAATATTGTAGAAGCTGGGACAACTGTACTTCCCTACGCGTTTCGTACCCGCAAAGTGAACTGAACTGATCCTGAGCTAACGTATTGTTCGGCTATTTCGATCCCTCTGAAGGTCTACTTTTGGGACCACCCAGCTTCCTGTCATAAGTTGGTAATCGACTGCTTAAATAGGGTCCTGTAAGTTGCAGCCGGCAAGATTATCAGAATAAGAGGTAAGGATTCCTATGGTGAACAGCCCGCGGTACGAATAACGATGATAAGCAACTTTGTATGGACGCTCAAGGTCTTTGGAGGGCTCTCGGATATGAACTTTGAGGTGTGATTTCGTATCAGTGACGGTCATCTGCGTAGCAGTACGCTGTCTGTCGTCAGCATGGTGGCTGGCTACCGCTGAGACCAACTTCTTTCGGCTAGTAACGCACAATTGTTGTCGAATCCTGCTGTTGGTTTAGTGGATTTCCCTGCAAGCAGGAAGCTGGAGGTTCGGAAAGATGGAGTAGTGTCTCCGACTATGCGCTTACATAGCACATTTATTTCACTTATGGAATTCTCTGCTTGTATACATTCTCAAGACTTCCTCTCTGTGTCGAAGCGCTAATTTATGCACTCCTTTATGGGTACCCATTTTATGTATCCACTTCGTTACTCACCACTTACTCTATGTGCTGAGGTTGAATGGCTCATCTCTTGTCGTTCTCTATGTAGTGTATTCTTCATCATAAATCCGTGTGAATACCCTGAGCCGTTTTTTATGAGTACTTTGATTGTCTTGGTGGAACGTAGTTCACTTCAGATTTCTAGTCCTAGTTGTATGGTTATTCACTTTTCACATTTCAGCCGTTCGCCTTAACCTATGGGTTTTGCGGAGACAACAAAATTGTCGAAAAAATCAAAGGTAATGATACCAGTGAGCCTACCACTACCCTCCATAGGTACCCTTTTTGTTCTTCAACGAGGAGAAACTGAGAACAAAGCACATCTTGTATGCGTCAGAGCTTCAAAAACTCGTCGGCCTCATTTTCTTCCCACAGCACTATAGTGCCTGGCCCGAGTATGTTCTTCTATGCCATCCCTTAGTGCCATAACTCTATTTCCAGTTGGTGTGTGATTCGTAAGCCGGCATTGATCAGTAGCGTGATCCTGCTATTTTGCGACCGGTTGCAGTGCATCACACCGGGTGATCCCATACTGCAGTCAATCTTTGACAAGGTAACCAAACTATACACTTTTCACTATTTGACAGGCTCTGTGTTTCTACACTCCTACAGCATACAACCATACATGGGAAGCGGAAATACTCCAAGTACCTCGGTCTCATCTTTCCAAGCATGCACTGAACATGGTTGGTAAGTGCTTGAAACCCTGAATCTCCCCTTCCTATATCACAATGATAAAGGACGAGTTCAACAGCACCGACGTGCTCGTCGTGTGGCAAACCCGTACAAGAGTCGATAAATGGCTTTCTTGGAATGTGTGAAGTTACGTTTTCAGTTCGTTGTAGTAACCGACGGAAGTCGGAAGAAGCTACACGAGCGTCATTGTTAGTTGCGTTTACGTTGCAGGATCTGTGTGATAGTGCCTATCGGATGAGGCTCTTTGGTATTCGGCTTCCGTTCGTCTCAGACCCTGACTGCTATGTAAAACCTTGCTTCACTTCGGTGTGACAATATCCCGGTGGAGCCTCAACTGACTACGCTAAACTTGGGTTCATGGTGAAGCTGCCTGCGGCTCCTAGACCCCATTTTCCTGAGTGTGTGTTATTTCTATTCCATTTACTCTTAGGATTTTGTGTCAGTCTATCCAGCGGACATTCACTTCTTCGGACGTGCAAGGATGGGACGGGATACTTTTGTCCAAGTTCGCAACATCCAGTTGTTATAAATAAAACTGCGCTTCATGAACCTTTGTGTTAAAATTCCTCGGTGGCAAAATACCGGGAAGTTTGCTGCTCACCTGTGACAAATGTGGGTCAGCATACTATGAGGGGGTTGCTTTCGGTTATCGAGCTCGTTATGCAACATAGCGTAATATTATTCACTTATCATGCGCGCGTCCCACGCTTTCCACTGGAAGATTGGGCTAAAATACCGGCTGATTGATGTAGAATTTCACCTACCTCAGTAATCACGTTGGCTCCAGCGTCAGATAACCTTGGGAACGGTATGTATTTCCTGTTAAAACTATGATATTGGAATTACTGGCCGGAAGGTCCGTGGTTCGAACCCTACCTCTGCATCTCGACTTCCCCTGTCTAGGCTTGGGCAACCTGGCAGTATCCCAGCCCTGGTGCTTCCTTCAGGTGGCATGGCAGCTAGGCACCAGAAGAGTGCTACAGCTGAACGATAATAGTGGAAGCTCTATGCCGCATCGGATTGATTCGAATAAGATTAGGGGGCAGTGAGTTTGATAATTTGCGGCAGGGAGTGATGGGTTGATGTGAGATGGAGGCGCATAGTGGGAATGTCAACTAGTCGCACCACAAATGCTTGAATGGTTTACCGAAGTTGTACACCGGCATCAGTGCCAACACTGATGTTGCTGTCTTTGATGATGATGACACCGGCAACCCTAGAAGTGACATAAGGGAGTCAGTTCGCCAGAGTCTCACCGCTCTAAACAGTTGTGGTCCAACGACTTGACACCATCCCTGTATATCTCACAAACCGTTTGTGAAAAATGTCGATTTCTCTGATGTCTCCTCAGAAGCAGTCAGTCGTCATTGTCAGTTGGCACTTGACCAAACCAACCGTCGTTTGTTAGCGTCAATGCTGTCAAACTTGTGTTGATTAGCCTTCACATTGCATTGGTCTCAATCGCAAAGCGGAATTAAGGATTTCGCCTGAAGTCAACTGGACATCACTTAAAACAAGACAGTGACTATGATAATAACGGGTTAGTCGGTGCTTACTTGTCCGGCTGGCTCAAAGGTGCGCATGTTGTTGATAAAGGTGCGATATTTAGTACACAACCCCCCACCGGTAGATGCATCAGTCATGTATCATTCAGACGCTCTGACTTCGGCACGGACGCTACGATGCGCAGCATGTGGTTAAGTTGAAGTATAGACAAAAATATGGCACGTCGACTGACCGAAGTCCGAGTGTGAGGCGGCTGGAAAACACCATTGAAACATATATATATATATATAT